GACTCGCATTTTCGTTCTTACAGTGCAGCCTTGGGTGACGAGCCGCCCCATCTACGAGGGAGTCATTAGCAGACAGTTTGTTTCGATTGACGAGCTTCCACCTAGTTAACGAACTGTCAGTGTGTATGTGTGCCTGTGTCCGCCATTGAGTTTTGCTAGCAGGACGTAGGTTCTCGGTCAAATGCGGCCAATCAGTGAACTGATGCAGCTCGATTGGCTACGTTTCGCAAGACGAATGCTTCACACGATGAGATCGGTGCCGGAATATATTAAACTCGTTAACTGAGGTTCCTCCGTATTAGTAATTCCATTTCAAGCTAACGTTATGGGAGACTTCACTAATACGAATAAGGGTAAACAGCATTGTCTTAAAAGGATTTACGGAGAGCTCGGAGGAAAAAGGGCCTTGTTCCGTATGGTGGCCTCATTGTCATGGCCTGCTGTTGACAGAATCGGAGACATTGCAAAACCAAAGTACCTCTTATAGAACATTACTTTGGTGGTAAGGTGTACGCTGTCTTTACTATGAACTCGAAACTTTACTAACATGAAAACGTATTATGCAGCGATTAAATTTGCAAAGTTCAGGCACATTTTTCACCAACTCCGTACATTTTAAGATTGCCTATCCACTGAGGGAATGAAAGTCTGCAGAGGAATAAGGAAGGTTAAACTGACATAGCCACACACCAGCAAGATTAGCTAGTAGATGACTAATAGGAGGGATTTTGCTTAAATCATAATTGCTTGAGCCAAGTCCTTAAAAGGATCAGAAAGGAAGAGCCGGGATTCACGAAAAGGGTATTTCATGAATGGAGGCGATTGTTGAAATTCCAAGTGTCTGCATGAGTAGCGAAGAAAAGGACAAGGTCAGGCAGCGGGAAATTTTGTTTATTTGTCTCATCTTTTGAGCTTCCAATGTTTGGGAGACCGTTAACTGACGGCAGAACTTTGAACTGGATGTAAGACTCCAATGGCTCCTCCTCCTGCTCCTTAATGATGCCTTTATGAGCAATCTATTTAGTGTGGAATTTGAGGCCATATTTATTTCTATTTTTCTTCGTGTGTGTGTGTGTGTGTGTGTGTGTGTTTGTGTGTTCGACCAGCGACTTCAATGAAGTTCACCAAGTGCATCAACAGGTTGGTAGAGAAGGTGACAGT